CCATGGAGGTTGTGTGTCTTGTTTTGTTTTTTTTCATCTTGTTTCACAAATACAATATGTATAGAAACTCTACACAGACTGGATATGTTTCTGAATACAAGTTTTGTTCCACTGTTGTAAACAGTCATTACAAGTCAGCCACATACACTATGCTTATGCAGTAATAATAATTATAATCATCATCATCATTAGTTTCATCGTCATCCTCGTTATCGTGATAATAAATATTCTTTTTATACACAAAAGTTGGCAGCAAATACGGCATGGGGATGCACATGACAGCCGTACTCAAAACTCAAAAGCTGTACAGAAGAATGAATTTGTATTTACAGTAAGAATGTGAGAATGTGTCTGTCTGCCTCTCTGTTGATCCGGATGGCTGCACTGAAGGCCGTTTTGTCTCATGCGCCTCGTATCGACCGGATCGCATCTCCACCTTGTTTTGATACAGATCTTACACCGCTCGGTCAGAGGCACTGTTACGCAACCTCCACAGTCCTGCGTTTTCATCCAAGTGCTACCAGTCAGGCTTGTGCTTTCAAAATGACATGCCCTGATTTGTGAATGACTGGCTGAACATTTTACTCATTAATATTCATCTACGTTGGCCAGTGAAAGTCAAGGTTCGTTAGGCAAACCTTGGTGAAATCATGCCTTACCTCTTTTTTTTTCTCTTTTTTTTTTAAATTCAGGTACAACTTTCAAGAATATAAGATCTAATCATGCACCTTGTTCCGATGGCTTGGCTGCTGAGTGGGTTAATCAACGATGAAATATCCGATAGAAGCATTCCATTCACCCCACAGAATATACTGACACCCAATATGTACAATGACACGTATCAATGAGAAGTGCTGACCATCTGTATCACATGTTTATAGCAGCACAGACAGTCACTGCAAGCCAAACACTGAGGAGCCCAGGTCAGCCAAAACGCACAAAAAACCGAATGAGGGCTTACAAACAGCCAGACAAAGCCAAGCAAACCCATGCTTCAAAGCAACATGATGGTGGACATTCAGAAACTGACAGTCTACACAGTTTACCCTTTGGCAACAAGTCCCCCGTGCGGGGAGTGAGGGGTCAAAACATGCCACGAAAATAAAAACAATTCTAGTTCAATAGTCAATATTCAAATTCATACAGACAAGTTGCTAAGTAAAAACATTTTCAGTACCTTTTTTTATTTTTTAACTCTTTTACTTGATAATTCCGTTGTTTTCTCGTGAGTACAATGATGATAATAAACTTCTTTTTTAGGCTGAATCACTTCCAGGTTCAAAATGAGTCATTGCATAGAACGTTTGAATTGATAATTGCTTTCGTCCTCTCCCGTATCTGCGCTTGTGTGTGTGTTTGTGTGTGTGAGTCTGTGTGTGTGTTTGTGAGTGTATCTTTGCACAAATAAGAGGCAGTGGGCCCAGCTTGTCAGTGAGATCGTCTTGTTGGTGAATCGGTAATCAGCAGGAGGTGAACAGTTCTGTTTAGTTGGAACTCAATTAACCTTGGCTCTGAAGTGTAACTAGGATGCAAAGTGTGTGCAGTGAGTGTGTGTGTGTGTGTGTGTTTGCGAGATAGACAGAGAGTCTGTGAGTGTGTTCGTACCTGTCTGCATGCGCTTATGCATCTGCACACATCATGCATGTCTGTACACGGTACTGTGGTTGTAAACCCTCTGACAAATTGTATTACGGCTATTGATTGACAGAAGTGTTTGATATTTCCCATCACTAATTGAAACAACATTTATACCATTGTGCTATATACCATTTTCTGCATGCTATTGCTTTTAAAAATCAATAAGCAAATTATTCGATGCAAGAAAACAGAGATTCAAACAAATAAAAAGTGAAAAATATAAATCTTACCAAAGAAAAACACATAACAAAAAAAAAAAAGAAAGTCACTGGAAAGTGATTCATTAAATACACAAATGACAAATTTACATAATTAGATCTCTGATTTGTTTTTATGTACATACAATAGTATACAGTGTAAAAAGAAATGCATGATGATATGGGCGTTTTAAAACATATGAGGTATACAAGTAAAAACATGTACTGAATAAGGCTCTTCCATTCAGTGAATATCAGGCAAAAATGAAAAGAAACTAAAAGATGAGACAAATCAATAAAAAGGTCCCAGAGGGCTCCGGGGCTGACTGTAACGATGGCTTTGCGATGGCTAATAAAGAGCCGTGGCCACTCTTTCATTTGGTCCGCTCATCTGTGTGAATCTCACACTTGTGGGCACACTGGTAGTAATTCCCTTCCCTAAAACCCTACAGCTAATGACTAGCGGCATCTTATAGGTGGTGAAAAAAGTATCGATATGGGCTTCTTTTTTGTTTGTTTTTCCTCAAGTTTTTCACTTGTGCGTGCATTCTCATGTCCACATGTACACAATGCATTCTGTAGACATTGAAACAAAAAGAAGGAGAAATAAAAACCACATTCAAAGAAAGGGTCAAAATCCCTAAACTGGAATGTACTGTAGAGATCAGAGAAACCAAGCATTCAAGGATTTTAGTTGGGTTGGTTGTCATTGCCGTGATGTGTCTCGTCTACTCCAGGTGCGTGGTGTCGTCGTAGGCTGAGATCAGTCTCTTTGGTACGGGGAAAACCTATGAAATCTGTCTTCTTTTTTTTTCTCTTTTCCTGCTTGTAAATTCTTTGAAGACATCAACGTAGAATCGAGTATCCCTGTTAGACGTGCACTCCTCAGACATGGGTGGTGTTGCGATCAACTCCCTGTAGAGGGCGCCGTGAGGCTTCCTTTATTGAGCCGTTTCAAAGGTGGGACATGCATGGACGAACACGCTGAATTTCTCCTATGATATTCCACCTGCCTCAGTTAGCGGCGCTTTTACTGTCACACAGATCCCAGGAGGATTCCTCCAGAAGAGGAGGGGAAGTAGGACTCGTGTCCCCCTTCCCCCTCTCTCCACTTCACTGCATCCTCATTATTGACCGTTGTCCTCCTGAAATACAGACAGCGAAGGTGTGAATGGTGGCAGAAATAAACAACTGTTAATGCAGAACATCAAATTCACTCGACCACACAAAGAGCGCTGACATACAGAGTAAAACAACGTGAATACAAGAAATAAAAAGTGGCTAAAATTACACTTTAAAAAAAAGCAAGTATTTCAAAATGATCTGGTCCTTGAGAAATTCTATATGTTCTCGCCACACACTGAGCCTCCTGCTATGTTTATGTGGCAGCTCGGCCCGCCTCCCCCCTCCCACTTCACAGGACGCTCCGGCCTATCACAGCCCTGCTGGTGTCGGCAGTAATCCACTGAGCCACTGAGTCTGGTTTATCTCTACATTTCCCCTCCGAGTCCTCAGACTGGTGGCAGACAGAGATGACTGACATGGCTACTGATATTAATCCAAATGTCACCGCGGACAGAGAAGCTCAATGATAGATCTGCATTCAAATGAGCCTCAACTTCATCCAGTCAAGTCGCAGCATGTGTTTTGACAGAAGCTAAACAAAGTGTATTGAAATCTGCTTTATTTCCACTTCTGTAGTTCTGCTCCATTGAGCAGAATTAGTTCGTTAGTTCGTTCTACCATGTAATGAATGATGCTCACCGTGAGTCATGATTCTGTGAGCCTACATGGGCTCTTGTCCCTGTGTGTGTCTTTGCGTGTGTGACATTCAAGCCAAGCCACAGTTAGCTTTCTCAGGCTAATTATAGCCCAGTGTGCTTGGCCCAGATTACGGGAGGTGTGTAGAGTCAGAAGGTAAACCATAATAGTGCTGACCTCCCCTATTCTTGGCTTTGGCCTCTCACCTGTACAGCACGAAGTTCAATCGGACTGTGACTTTAATTACCTTTCCTGACACAACAGTGAACTAATACAACAACAACAAAAAAAACTCTGACGCAAACAAAAACACAATCAGTGTAAAGGCAAATAAGAATCTGGCAACACGAGCCTACAGGCATGGGAGCACATAAGTAGACTCAGAGATGTATGTAAGAGTCTTTTCCTTACTTACCTTTGGTCTAATGAAGTCTCAGACGTCCTAGACAATCATCATTCTGGGACTGTAGCTCTGTCAAAGCATCCTCTTACTTTCAGGCCTCTTCAGCCCTCTGCCCCGGTCTTGTAACACCATGCTGACGAAGCGATCACCCTTATTTAATTCACTTCAATCGTGTGCCCATGTCTGGGGAATTCACTGCTGACAAGGCATCCTTTGATTCCAGCTCTGTTCAGTAATTCGGGGGTAAGGGAAAGGTACAGTGAATCAGTTTGGATATACAATCACAGCATTTAATGAGTCATCACTTCACTTGAGTCTTCTCATTATGCAGACATGGCCTATGCTAATCTATGTCAGGATACAGCTGATAGAACACGTTATCCATTAATCAAAATGTGACAGCATTTTATGTTTTAGCAACTTGGAGTCTCAGTGTACCAAATAACTAACGAGGTAAAACTGAAAGTATCGCCAGCGATCAACAGTTAAACAAGTTACTGCATCACCGCTTTAGTTTTACTTCATGCACATGTCACAAAAGTGAATGAACACATCGTTAAATGTAAAAGAGTTTCCTTCAGTGGCATGGTTCTCACATGCTTAGTGAGGCAGGTGACACGATATTTATCAGAACGATGATGCTCTCAGAAAAAAGAAAAAAAAACTCCCCATACTCACTAATGCACACAGGATCTCTCTTCGTCTGGTTCCTCTGTAATGTCAAATGTATTTAATGCAGTTTCATAGGTTTTTCCAGTACAAAGCTACCAATCCGTCTCATTTCAACTCTGCATACCCTGAAAGAGAAAAGCACAGTCGATTCAAAATAAACAAGCGAATCGATAAGCACATAAATTATTTCCCAAACTGCCACCTGTTCCAGCCGTTCTAAAATCAATCCATGCTTCTAAATTAACAATTTGAAAACGAAATTATTTAGAGCTTCCAATGCCATTAACTCTTATATCAAATGAAAAAAAACTTACCCTCCAGTCTTTCGTTCACCAAAATGAAGTGAACTTCTTCCCAAGGCCAGACAAAGCTGTGAGAATGACAAACGGAGACAAATATGAGAAGTCTCTACAACCCAAACACTAAAATACCAAGTCAAGGAAATCCAAGATCTTAACTTCTGGATTGTTGGGTTTAAAATTCGTAAGGCCTTCAGCTTACTATGTTAAGCACTGAGAGACTGCACGATACAAATAAAACTGAACTTTTGCTATAATAATAAACTCTTTATTTGTAAGCTGTATTTCAGTTTGTACCATCTCCCAGTTTTCCCGCCTGCTCTGCTGCCCCTCCTTGCAGGATTTTGGTCAGAACGTTTTCCCCTTCAGCAGGTGCCTGGCCTGGAGCAGCGCTGCCTATACCTCCTGCTTTGCTACCAATCCCAACAGGGGCGGCCTTGGAGCCTGCAAACAAAAAAAAACAAATCAGTACCCTCACATGTATTGTTGTTTGGTTATGTGTATTCTGGTAATGGTGGAAGTGAGACTTACCAATGCCTGTTAGAGGGGGTGTGGCTATTTTGGTAGGCTGCGGTGCTGGTGGTACTCCTGCCATAGCTTTCATTCCTGTGGCAGCTGGTGCAGGTGTGGCCTCCATCTTTGCCTGCAGAAAATCAAGTGAAGACGAATATTGAGTTTGGGCAAAGTTCAGTTCAGTAAATATCTTGGTTTCCCCTTTCTGCTTCAATTTAATGCCCAGTATACACCAAAAAAAGAGTATTGTTGTGAGATATTATTGGTGGTGTGGCAATCTTTGTCAAATGGTTTTGACATCCTTACACTCTCCATGTGTTGCTTAGCATAAGAAGACACAGCAATGGCATTTAATGGCTACAATTACTGCACACTGTATCACATAACAGGCTTCAGTGCAGGATTTAGAAAACAACACAGTTAACACATCTGTATAGTTCAAGTAGTAAAACCAGGTTCACGTCTACTTACGGCTGCAGCCGGCTGTCCTGCTGCAGACCCTCCTCCTGGTTGGCGTCCTTGTGGCGGGGCTTGGCCGGATTTTGGCTGCTGCTGTGCCTGTCCAGCTCCTGCTGCGGTTGTTGCAGGCTGGCTGCTCTGAGGGGTCTGGCCGTGCTGCTGTGGTTGCTGCTGTTGCTGTTGTGCACTCTGCTGATGCTGCTGCTGCTGCTGCGGATGCTGCGGATGCTGCTGCTGCTGCTGCTGCTGCTGATGCGACTGCTGATGTGGCTGCTGCTGCGCCTGCTGGGTGCCATCAAGTGGTTCAGAGCCTGGATGTCTCCCGGACTGGCCCTGTCCACCTGACCGCTGCTGCCCAGTATGGCCCTGAGGAGGCTGCTGTTGCTGTGATTTGGGCCCTGCTGAAGAGGGATCCTGTCTCCTGGAGGTGGTGCGATCCCCTTGTGGTCTCTGGCTCCTTCCCCCAGTGCCGTGGTGATGACCGGAGGCTGGGTCACGAGAGAAGTCTCCTGAGTTTCGAGGGCTTCCCTGGGCTGAACGAGAGTCTGGACCACTCCTTCTTTGTGCAGATGTAGCGCTTCTGCCGTCAGCACGGCCAGATGGGTCTTTGGGGTGTGTTCTAGAAGAACGCGAGGCTCTGGGATCTTCAGCGGAGTGGCGAGAAGAGCTGTGTCTGCCAGAACTGCTGCCATGGTGGCGATGGTCCCGTGATGCAGAAGAGGAGTGGCGTTGTTGGTTGTACTCATCCTGTGGACCGTACTCCTCTGGAGGCTCGTCATAGTCGTGGTAGGTGTGTTTACTACGTCTACCTGTGGATGAGTGACCTCCACTTCCATGATGTCTTGAGCGATCAGAACGGGCCTCCCGTGGCTTCTCAAACCAGTCAGTCTCCTCTTGGCCCAAGTGATAGGCTTTTTAAAAACCAATACAAACAATATCAGTCAATTGGTTTGATGTGGCAAGTGAAGCAGCATGCAGATGGATGCCATGCAAAATAAATGGGAAAAACGTGCTCCACATTCCAGAGCCATGGAGATTTTTGTGGAATCCAGCAAAAAAAAAAAAAAAAAAAGTAAAAAAGCAGAGTTCATGCCGCACCTCACACTTAAAATGATGCATGCAAAACATAAATATAAAACACTTTTGGCTTCATGTATCAAAGGGAACATTCCATAAAAAAGGACAACACAAACAAAATAATGGCGGTCTTCTCCACACTCGGCATGCAGTCTTTTCAGCACACTTCAAAGGCGGGAGGAACAAAATACAGCACAAATAATTTAGCACCAGTTACCTTCACTGTCAGAAACAGCACAGTGCATGTCATCTACAAGATAGGGGTCATCTGGTTTATAGACATGACTCCTGGGCAGGTCCTTCTTGTGGTGGTCCTGCACATCTGGCAGCGAATGGCTGGAGCCATACTGATTTCTCACATCATGGGCTTCTGGTATGCCAGAGCTTCTTCCCATGCCGACAGGCTTCCCAACAGGACTGAGTGGACTCTCCTCTTCTGAATTCTGGTTGCGCATGGGAGGTCTTCCGCCACGGCTGCTCCTCTGAGACCGCTCCATGGCATCTCTTTCGTAAGATTTACTCCGGTGACCTGTGGCATCTCTGGAGGAAATCTTGTCCATACCATATCCTGTAGACCTGGACCTACCAGAGCTGTACATGCGGTCCTCTTCCTCAAGACCTTCACGACTGGTGCCATAGTATTTCTGCTGGTCATATGCATTTTTCTTCATCCCATAGGTGCCATCATCCTGAAGCTTCTTGGACCGAGACACAACTGTACAGGTTCCCCCCGTTGATGTCGTCATTGTGTAAGACGCAAGGTCAGACTCCACATCCCGAGCTTCCTCAATAGGGGAGAACTTAGAAATCTTCTGCTCCATTCCCTGCTTCCTGTGCTTACTGCGTTTAGAGGAGACTACGGCAGGGGCGAGGTTCTTAGGTGTGAGTTTGTGGCTACCAGAGCTGCTCCGTGATGTGTGTTTATAATCATCATAGTAATAAGAGCCTCCACTCACTGTGGTGCCCGTGCGACCATCTACTGTGGTCTGGTAACCTGTTGAGCCTGTAGGTCTGCCATAAGCATCAACAGGCTCATCTTCAGGCCTGCCGTAGCCACTCCCTCGTGCAGGACCATTCTCACTGCGATATCGTCCTCCTACAGGATGACCTAGAGCATCAGTGGCTTGGCCAGTGTTATCTTTTGTCAACTCACTGATGTCATCAATCATGACATAGTTCCTTGGAATATTCTGCTCTAGGTTAGAAGTGTAGAGCCCATCTGCAGCATAAGCAGAAGTGGGGCTGTCCACAGAGTGAGTCAGGCCAGGCTCAGGGGGGCGGTACTGTCCATATGCATTGCTATAGGCTGAACCAAAGCTGGTATCTGGAGCTGACGTTGCCACTGACACTGCTGGGTTGTTGATGACCTCGTAGTTGGTGGGGAGTTTTTGCTCAAGGTCAGCCAAAGAAGTTTGCCTTGGTCTTTGATGGACTGTAAGGATCTCTGCCTGGGGTTGGTAGGGGAGTCCAGGTTGGTAGGAACTATGGCTGGGATAAGGAAGACTCTGTCCTGGCATAGGCTGACCAGGTGAATGGAAGCCCTGGTGGCCATGCTGCTGCATGCTAATGTCTGTCTGATAGGAGGACTGGCCATACATGCGGGATGAATAGGTTCCCTGGTTCTGGTAGCCAGGGCCCGGTGGAGGATGCGGCTGGAATGTTCCTGGTTGAGGTGCAGAGGACGAAGGGTACTGAGGAGGCTGGAAACCTATCTGTTGGTAAGCAGAGCCTGGCTGCTGTGTTGATGGTTGACTTTGAGGGTATGGATATGACATATAAGATGAGGTTGAGGGATACTGAGAGGTTGCACTGAGGTCATTCGTAAACTGACTCAGTGGTGCAGTACTGGGCCTTGTCAGCAAACCATTAGCATCAAAGTTTCCAGTAGCAGCTGCCATCCTGAGGTTGTTGAGCTCACTGTCTGACATGTAGTCTCGGGCATCACCCATACATCGCAGGTAGGCCAACTCTCTCCTCTCCCTTTCCTTCACCATGGTCTCCTTACGCTGGGTAATGCCTAGCTCCAGATAACGCAGCTTGGCATCAATCTCCTTTTCTTCTTCTTCCAGTTCAGCCTGCTGCTTGCGCAGCTTCGACGACTCTTGTTCCACAGCTTTCAGTTCACTCAGCAGCCCAGCCTTGGTGACTCCCTGGGCAGGTCTTGGAAGAACCCTCTGGGGCATGCCAGGGGAGCTGTACATTTGTGCTGGAGTGACAATGGGGAGCGGAGTCTCCTCTGGAGGGGGGCTGGGGAGAGTCCTCTTTACTTTCCTCATCAGAGAGTTCTGCTGCTGCTGCAGGGAGGCCATCTGCTAAGAGAAGCAGAGACACATCAGCAAACACTGAGCTATAAACAGAATGCGTTTATGTAAATTAAACTCATTACTGTGCACTAGCTACTCACTGAGAGTCTACACACTTCTTCATCTCAAGATCGAAGTAAAGAACTTTACAGCCTGATATGCTGTCAAGACTACCTGACATTATTTAAACTACTATTTAAGCTAGAGTGTGAGCTCCATCAGTAGTTCATCTAGCATAGTTTATATTTATTATAATTATTATTATTGTTACACTAAAGCACTAAGTGGCTTTTTTCATTTTATGCCAGATTAACAGTGTTCAGGACAATGTTAAGCAGTGAAAGTCAACACAAAGCACCACTCATACATGATACCACAGACACTGAAGGTACATATTCAACTAAGTATTAGTTGCTTTTTAAAAACTCATCTAATTTTCTAAGTGTAGGATGCATGTCATCATTTTTGATTAAAATAAAATACAACAAAGTGAACATCAGAGAATCTTAATAAATGTAAACATAAGCATAAAATATGTTTCCAAATCGACAGGAACATGAGAGGAAACTGAAGCAATTGTCTTTTGATTTCATTCCAAAGTATTTTCATTAATATGTTAATTTTCTTTTTACTCCTTTGATCAGATATCCACAGAATCTGGCCTTTTTTTCAGTCACTTAAATATTGATGTATTGCATGCTGGTAAGAAAAATCAAACACTACAAATAAAAAGACAATTTAATAAGAAATCTATGTTAGTCTATTACTTACAAAATAGTTGTGTTGGGTAGATCCATGGTAATTTTGTTAAGTATCCACAAGAGAGCCATGTATTAAAATACTAAGAGTAAACATAGGTACAAATGCATAAAACGCTTCTCAGACTGATTTTGGTCCAAGTGCAGAGCAATGTTAATTTACTTTGACCAGCTGCTAACAATCAGGAAGACAGCAAAGCAGCACCAGGATTCCTCCACATTGTACATCCCTGTGGCAACACTCAAGGCTTTGCCAGATATAGAAGACATGGCAGAAAGAGGAGCGAGCGAGCGAGAGAGAGAGAGAGAGAGAGCAGGAGAGAGAGAGAGAGAGAGAGAGACAGAGAGAGAGAGCAGGGGAGAGAGAGAGAGAGAGAGAGAGAGAGAGAGAGAGCGAGCGAGAGAGCGACTAAAGGAGTATAAAGGGGGAATAAGGGAGGAGAAGCTTTTCTGGCATGGCCAGCTGCTCTTATGAGAACATTCTGTCACTTCCTCAATGCCAGATCCTGTGTGATTTTCCATGTCCACACGAACACATGATATATATTGTGTACACACACACACACACACACACACACACACACACGTGGCAAATGCTACTTTCATGTTACTAGCTGGCACCTCCAGTAAATGTGCCACGCTTTGCAATTTTCAGAAAAATAGGCTTTAACATGTACGAGCTGCTCCCCCTACAGGGACTTGTAGGGTGGAAGATGTATATCTATTTTTGAATCTTTAAATGCTAATTGGCTTTTGTAAATGTGGGATGACCTCAGTTTTGCAGATTTTTACAAGCACTGATAGCACTGATAATGAAAGATTAGTTTGAGTTGATTTGTTTGATTTTCTAAAAACAGATATTTTGTCAGAATACATTTTTATACAACATATACTTGTATGTTTTTAAATTCCATTTATTATGCTTTGTGTAAATGTTCATAAATTTGGATAATTTCTGTTTAAACAAAGGTAGATTTCTTACCTGACTGTTGGACACAGCTTGCTGATGATATGGGGAGAACCTGTTCTTGGCAGGATCCTCTGATGTAGGACTGAGAGGTTTGGGATCCGACATGGAGCGCTGCACACTTTTTATGGGTCTTGGTAGGGTCTGGTGGCGCTGGGGAGATTCTACAGTAAAGGCCTTCTGCTGGGGCGTAACATGGGCTTTGTTAAGCTTCTCCTGGGAGGCAAATGTTGTCTCTAGCATGCGATGAGGAGACAGTGGAGATACGGGGGAGTACAGCACTTGGGGAGATTTTGGGGGCTGACGAGACTGGGACTCGTTTTGCTGCGGATAGCCAATTTCCAAGGGGTCAGGTTTTCTCCTCTCAAATTTAGCAACTCCTTGGAGTCTAGGAGAAGTTGGGTCAGATGTGTTTGCACCTACTATATGCAGACTTGTTGAGTATGGACTGATAGTTGTAGGGACACTTAGCTGAGGAGCAACCACACCCTGAGAGTGAGACTCTGGTTCTGTCTGGCAGGCCAGACTCTCTCCTTTGTGGGTCCTTTCAGGAGCTGCTATGTAATGTAATAGGTCAACCTTTGAGGTTTCCGCCATGGTAATGTGGATTGCAGGAGAAACTCTGCCTAGTTGGTCGAGCTCTGTCTGGCATGATGAATCATTTGTGGTCTGAATAGCTATACTTGCAGAACCCACTTTAGATGATCCATCAGATTTAGCCTCACCACTGGATTCAGAGTGCTTGGATACACGTGACCGCCTGCGCCTCACTGGCTGCTGTTCCCATTCTGCCTGGTCCTCCTCGTCGGTCTGCACGCTGCAGTCCGCAATACGCCTTGTTCTCCTGCGCCTGTTCATGAATTTATCCTCTCCATCTTCATCATCTGTTTGCACACAGCTGTCTGTGATCCTTTTACCAGAGTCATCCTCTGAGCCGTCCCTCAACCGAGGCATGGAATTCTGCTTTTTCATAGTCTTCGAATCAGTCGGTTTGTCACTGCTCCTCAAAGACATTTCAGAGACTGAACTATGGATAGGTCGAGCAGCCACCACAGCTTGGACCACTTGTCCATCCTGCCAAAACTGCACACTTTGTCCTTCTTGCTGAATAACTCTACCACTCTGGTCACAGATAATGAACCCTTGAGGGGTCCCTCCTCCAACAACTACCCCTTGTATAGTACCCTGGGCAGAGGTTGCTGCTGCTGCCGCTGCAGCTGATGCAGCTGCAGCCTCAGCTGCAGCAGCAGCCGCTGCTGCCTCCACTGCTGCTGTCTTTTGTCTCTTCTGCTCCTCTAACTGCTGCTGGAGCTGCTGCTGCAGAGATTGAATTTGCTCAAGCTGCATTCTCTGCTGGGCCAGTTGCTCTCTTTGCATAATAAGCTGTGTCTCTCGCTCTGCTTGCTGCTGCTGCAGGACTTGCTGTTTAATTGTCTGCAGTTCTTGAATCTCACGCTGAACAAGTAACTGTTCTTTTTCTCTGTGACGCTGAAGCTCCATACGATCTCTTTCAAGCTCCTCATGTAGACGCAGCTGGCGTAATTTCTCCAGTTCAACCCGCTCTCGCTCTAACTGTAACATGTGCTCTTGCTGCTGACTCAGTCTCTCATCTTCTTTACCTTTCTGTGCATCTGTGGTAGCTAGGGCAGTTCCATGTGGTGATGTCTGTGACTGGCCTTGTTGAGCCTGACTGATGGGTTGAGTTTGAGGTTGGGTTTGAGTCAAAGATAAAGGCTCAGTTTGAGTTGGTAACTGCTGTGGCTGCATTTTAGCCTGCACTGGCTGGACAGCTGGAGGTTGGCCTTGACCTGGAGAGAGGGATGTAATACTCTGTGAGGTAAGTAGAGTAGGGTCTATTTGCTGATTTGCTGTGGTTTGCATACCAGGTGCTGGTAGACTTTGTACTCCCAAGTGTGCTGCCGGTTGGGTTGGTGGAATAGTTGCAGCTGTTTGTGCAGAAACTGTTGTTAAAGGCTTTCCAAGGTATACTGGAGTCTCCTGGTGAGAGCTGCTTACCACAGGCACACTTCCTGATGGTGTGGCTGAAGTAGGATACTGGTTTGGAGGAGGGTAGGAATATGGTCCCTGTGTGGACAGAGGCATCCTGGGACTTACTTGAGGCAACCTGGTAAGACTAGCCAGAGGTACAGCAGTTACACCTGTAGGGTATGGTCTGTAAATTCCTCTAGGCATGGGACGCAGGACAGAGGAAGGCTGTGTAGTAATTGGCAATGTAGAGGCAATGGGAGTGTTTATTGTGGAATATATCATGCCATCACCTCCTCTCATAGCAGCAGGGTACAAGGCGCGTATACTTGCTTGTCTAGCATTTATTAGATTTGTTAGAGTTTGGCCATTGGCCATTGGTCTTCCATCAGGTCCATACAGTAAATTTGCTCTTATTGATGCTAAGCTCTGCTGAAGATTTAGCCTTGCTAAAGGTCCACCCCTTCCAGCCCCATATGGACCTAGTTCAGGGTTAGTTCCATACCGGCTCCCAAACTGATCCACTGTGTTAAGAGCTGCACACATGCGACTGATCTCTCTGGCAGTGGTTGCACTGTACTGAGCCAGATTGGAGTCCTGTGATCCAGATAGGTCACGTGAACTGTAGGCATAGTCAGAATTGATGTTTGACATGGAGCCATATCGACGAAGGGGTAATGAAGGGCCCGCAAAATCTCCTTGGTGACGTAGATCTGTGTAAGAACCATACTGTGCTCCCATGCCAAGGTATCCACCATCATAAACCTGATTCATACTGCTAAGATCTACTGCCAGACCACCTTGGACATTACCCTGATAGTGACCAGCATCAGTCATGGATGGCAGATTAGTATCAGACATGGAGGGCTGTATTCTTCCTGAGGGGCCTGTGGGTGGTTGATATGGTTTATGTTCCTCTGTCATTGCTTGTGTAACTTGAGGCTGGTGTTGTTGTTGACTGACATTGTAGTGTGGTGGATGGAGAGGATGGGCTGCTTGAGACGGTTCAGGGTTGGGGTTTTTATCTGAGGATATTGTGGTAGGCTTCTGAGTTAATGACCCTGAACAGGAACCAGCAAAGGGCAATTTGTAAACAACATCACAACAAGCCACTTGATTTTCTGGTTTTATCTGTCCAGTAAGATCCAAGACCTGAGGAGGGGGAGGAGGTTCTTCTTGCTTTACCAGTTGAGTCACCGTGCCACCTTGCAATGTGTTGCTCTCATCAAGCTGCACCATCATGACATGGGGCTTACCTGTGGACAAGTTCATTACTGTTGGCTTGTTTTTTAGCTCTAAGGCAACTCCGCCATACAATTCATGGGGAGCATTAGAAGCAGGAGCCCCAGACACTGCTGGTGGAGCCAGTGGGGATACTCTAGGTATGGCACTAGCAGTCACTACAGGTTGGGCACTGCTTGTCTGGCTCACTACAAGGTCTTTTTTAATCAGCAGTGGCTGGACCTGATTAGCTAAATTGTAACGAGCAAAAGAGGACTGCTGGTGGTGCTGTTGGAGTTGCTGCTCAAGAAGCTGCTGCTGCTGCAAAAGCTTTTGCTGCTGTAACTGCAGTTGTTGCTGTTGTATACCCAGATTCTCCAGACAGGCATCAATTTTGGGAATAGATGGGTCAGTAATTGGTGGCTTATTCTGGGTTAAACAAACCGCTGCTCCAACACCCTGCCCCAGATCCACACGGTTTTGTAAAGGATCTCCGTACACGATTGGTTGCTTGGGTTGGGACATGAACATTGAACCTGCGACTGTGACGCTAACTGTAGTTGGGGTTGACACAGATACATGTGGTTGCTCTTGAGCATTCAGGTTCATAATAAGAGGTTGCACTGCTGTGTGTCTACCAGATGGCTGCTCTGCTCCTAAAGAGTATCTTCTTGTGTCAGAGGCAAGAGATGTTAGGTCCATTCCCTGATCTGTCATTATTATTGGAGCTGGCCTCATTGGAGCTCTCAAGTCCACAATGCTAGTGCTTGGATGTGGTTGGCCCTGACCCACAACCATTGAAGTGCCTGGAATATTTGAGATTTTACAGAGAGATATATTTTCCATTGATCCACGACCATGTGCAGTGGTGCTTGCACTAATACCCACATTTACTTTTTCAACATTTTGAGAGGAATGCCTCAGGGACTGCTGTGATGGATGCATTTGGGGCGATGTTGGAGAACTTGTAGAAAGGGGCTGAGAGCTATACAATGTCTTACAACTGGCCTGTGTTGGTGATGACAAAGGGGAAGTGGAAGAATTTACAGTTAATGGCTTGGCAGGACTAGTTGCTTCAGAGCCCAATGTTATCACCATCACCGGTGAATCTTTAGAGGACTGTTGTCGTATAAGACGTGGTGAAACTGCCCTCTGTGGTGCCTGAGCTCCATGGGATGCTGCGCCTGATGCAGGACCTCCAGGCAAAGTTGGCAGTTGCCTGCCACTACTGCCAGTGGGTCGTACAGATGGTGTATGTGTTGGGCTTTGTGTTGGGGAAGCAGTGGGGGACACTGGGGGGCTGGGACCTTTGAAAAGGGAAAAGACTTTGGAGGTTAGAGAGGATGCTCCGGGGTCAGGTGATGCCTGTGTTGGCCTCTGGGAGCCTGCTCTGTTGCCAGCAGGCACTGTACTACCTGCCTGTCGAGTCATGGCAGTCTGACTCACTTGGGCTTTGGTTGTGGCAACTCCAACAACTCCTTCAATTTTGGCACTCTGTGTCATCATCCTGTTTTGCGTTTCTTTTGATAGATGCTGCGCTCCATGAATTCCTGAAATTCTTGGATCACTGCCTGTTGTGGAGAAGGACATAGGTGCAGTAACCTGGGTTGGGCTTGAGCCAGGGGTGAGGACAGTTCCAGCTTCGAGATGATGCTTGCCGTCTTGTTGAGAGGCACTTTTCTGCTGACTAACTGTTTGTCCTTGCCTTTGCATGAGCTGTGCTTTCTTCATCATCTCCTCATAGACTTCTTCTGCGCTTTTTAATGTTTTATCCGATGGTGACATTGCTGATGTTTTTTCTGTTGGGGAGTATAGGGATGTGAAGGTTGGAAGGTTAAATTCATTTCCTGATTTGTAAAGCTTTCCACCAATCATCTCAAAACCTTCTGCCTCTGAGTCCATAGAAGGCGAGTATTCAGAACATGATGATCTGTGAAGCTCCTCCATTTCTGCAGCCTGTCTTAGCTCTTCTGTTGGTGATGCATCCTCAATAGGAGAAAGATTACTGGGGGGAGTTTTGGACCTTTCTCTGCGTCTCTGTGCCCGTAGCTCCTCTTTATCCCTCTTTGTTTTTCGGGCTGTACTTCGGATCCTCTGTTGTTCTAGATCTCTCATCTGCTCCTGCTCTCTAAGTAGTTCTTCTTCCTCTCTGAGCTCATCCTCCTCAGATGAGTCCTCGATAGTGGGTAGCAGTGGCCCATGGGACCGATGTCTAGCCTTCCTCTGCTGCTTTGCTTCCTCTAGTCTTGCCCTACGACTAGGGCTGCTGTCACTGTCATCCTCCATGGATGACACAGATGTGGGAGATGTTCCAGAGGTATAGCTGGGAGTAGTGGCAGGTAGAGTGGATGAATATTCTCCCTTTGACCGCTCCTCTGGAGAACCAGTCAGACTCTCCATCTCTAGCTCTGGTTCTCGTAGGTCATGCTCAGTGCTGAGCTCCATGTCTCGGTTGTAGCTATTGGTGTTATTTAGCTCAATGGTCTTAAAGCGCCGGAGACCTCCAGCCATTCCGACATCTTCTTCTTCATTTGCCTTATAAGCACCCTCTGATGCCTTGGTGTCTTCCTCAAAGCTATTAGATTGTTGAGAGAGTCGTCGTCTCTCTTTGCCCAAATCCCCACTGGTTTTATGTGCCTTTTTAGTTTTCTGGTTTTCATAGTCTTCTAATTCTTCTTCATCAGCACTCATCTCCATAATTTGCCTCCTCATGTACTCTTCATCTGTTAACTCTTTATGTGACTTCTTCTGTCTTACTGGCAATGGTGAGAGACCACTTTCACTGCTGTCTTCCACATAGTCATGCCGAAGCTTACAACTGAGTTCATCCTCTGATTCATCCCTTGCTGCATCATCCTCAGGACTGTAGTCCCGCTCCTGTCCTACTGATAGTGAATGTGGCCTGTGCTTCGAGTCTGAAGCAGCCTTTGACTCTAGCAGAGGCTTCATGGAGCTCTCCAACTTGGTGATTTCTGAGGGGATGGAAGCACCTCTTTCACTGAGCTTGATTCCTTCTTCTCGGATCTGGCCTATGATTTCCCCTTGAGAGCTGGAGATCCCATCTGAAGAGTATCCAGTGTCACTTAAACTCTGTGAGCTTGATTTGTTGGAATCCTAAGAGAAAGAGAAAGAAGAGGAGAGAGGTCAGAAACAAAAGCTTTTTTCAAAAATTAACTCATGGAAAGGTCTATTACAAGCTTCAGTGCACATCTTGTATCCCACTATTTCATCCAGCTCATCAGCATTGACATTTTTATGAGCATTTTTAAGTAATTGGGAGTAAAATTGATTTACTACACCTTATATAGATGAAATAGTCTCTAATAGCAAGATATTAGAGAAATATTACATTGGACATTGCAAACCGTTAATCAAACAACCAGATATAGTAACACTAGAGGCTAAAATCAACCCAGATATTTACTGTGTATTGCCTTTTGGTTTTGAAAATTTTGCAAATTTGACTTTGCATATAGCTGACTAATTTATTTGAACACGTAGGAGGCAAAACAGAATAACTATTGTAAATGTGGATATGAGTTTTAATTTAGATTTTTTTTGTGAATATAATATTTTGTAGGTTATTATAGCTATTCACTATATTCTTTTGATTTGGGTTGAGTTTGCCTTTCAGCGTTATGTACACACAGATGGATAAATACACTGACACAGAGTGAATATAACAGACAGTTGAACATACAAACGTCAACGTACAAATGTTATTCGGTTACATGCTTGATTGCCATCTTTGACGCATTCTCCATTGCATTCTTCGAACCGTTGAAGAATAACGAACATGCTTAGAATGCTTAGAACATCATCACGAAGTGTCACATTAAACAAAAAGCTTGCGTTTGTTACAAAAAAGAAAAAAAGGTGTGTAAAAACGAGGCAAGGAAATGGAAGAGTGGGCTGAAGATAAGGAATGGCCACTGAAATGATGATGAGAAGGACGATGATGTGACTGATGATGACTGATGATGACGACAACGATGATCGTAAGGATGGCAGCGGAAGATGGAAATGATAATGACATAATGACGATGAAGAAAACTGTACTGACGGGAAATCCTTTTAGTGAAACCATGACAACGTTTTGATGAAACGCTTACGTGTACAGAAATAACTGTTATAGCTGCTTGTATAACAGCACGAGTTGATGAAAACTAGTGACTGACTTAAGAAGTTCTGAGGATTAACAATAAGACGAATAATAAAAGTGATGATGATAAAGTGATGGAACTGATGATTATGAAAAAGGAAAAGAAGAAAAAGAAGTAATGCTTGGATGAGCGCAATAATTAAAAACAGAGAACAAAAATGATGTTTCTGAGAAATGGTTACAATTATTTTAATGGAGCAAAATAAATCAAAATGGTGAGTCGAGTAACAGGTGAAGGCGAAGAAGTTGCAGGTAGCTCACTTCATGGTGTCTTGACTTGTGTGCATCTTCAGCTATCTTCATGTCTTTTGGAGAAGTGATAGTCTCTGACAGTGCCTTCTTCGGTGAGGCTTTGACGTCTTCTTTTAGAGATTTAGATGCGACTTTTGTCTTCTCCTGGCTTTGCGGCTGTTTGCGCGCCTGGTTGTTACCTGTGGGTTTAGACTGAGCGGGAGCTGTTTTTGAAGGGGTGGAAGAGGCCTTGGCATGGTTGGGTGCGGCTTTACCAGCGGTAGATGAAGTCTTGGCACCAGGAGGATGAGAAGGGCCCTTAGCCTGAGCAGAGGGCTGAGCAGATGCCTTCGTCTGAGTTGGCCCTTTGGCCTGGCTCGGACCCTTTGTTTGGCTAGCGGGCTGCGCAGGGCCCTTACTTTGAGCATGTAACTGACTAGGACCTTTAGCTTGACTGGGTGCCTTACTCTGAGCTGAGGGTTGTGCCGAACCCTTAGCTTGGGCAGGTGGCTGAGTTTGACCCTTGGCTTGAGGAGTGGGTTGTGCAGAACCCTTGGTTTGAGGGGAACCTTGGCTGACCCCCTTCGTTTGAGGGGCAGGTCCAGCCTGTTTCACACTAGAGAGAGGGCCACTTACTTGGGGACCCGCTGGTTTCTGTTGTTGTTGAGGACCTGGGGCCCTAGGCCCTGAAAGTTGATTTGGCCCTTTCTGCTGAGGTGGTTGTTGATTGGCTGGAGCAGCTGGCCGGGGAGATCCCATGGGCTGCGCGGCAGGAGCTGGAATATCTCCCAAGCTTCCTGACAGGGCCCTCTGTGTCTGGCAGTTCAAGCATAGCCATTCTTTCTTCTGGAAAACAAGGACAAAGAAAACAGGAATCAGCAAAGTTGCAATCAACAATCAGACAAAAGAACATGGTGTCTTTAACAGACTCTGTGTTGCTAATGTACATGAATAATAAACTACTAAAAGTACTAAAATAAACGATCTGGATTCCACCTGGTGTCAGCAAATAAGCAAATAAAAAGCAGTTTAAGCAGTTAGTATTCAGACTAAATACACAAATTATGATCAACACCTGTGTTCATATTGAAATTTAAACTGTGTCAACACATTACTTGAGCGTTGTTCATGATGATTGATAGGTACAAGAATGTAAATGTGTCTGTTAGCTGGATAAATTAAATCAAAATGTTGTTGCTTTATAAATGGTCACGGAGTGCCAAGTACTCAGTATAGCAAGTCTGAACAACTGAATATTTGAAAGCCTGTCCAAACAAGGCCTTTCATCTCTTCAAGAAGACTTAATCATTTGACAACATTAAGCACTCTCAAACAGGGTACACAGAAGAAGAGTGCCGTGTGAATACAAATTAACACATCTGTTATTAGATTGAAGGGGCGCAACAGTCATTAGACCTTTTATGGAGTCAAGAGCAAATCTTCTAGCTGCAAGAGCAGGATTCGTCCTTCACAGTCATCCTCACCGAGCTCTGTGATCAGTGATAGTTATGGATTCTGACACTGCTGAAAGTCTCATTCAAAAGCCATCGCAGACAGGATATTAGCATAAACAGATTCAATTTCAGGTCAATGCAACAAATCGATAAAACTGCTCAATGGAAAGAAATGGTTATATTACAGGTTCTGAAAGCTGAAAATAGAGTCGAGGGCGCCATGTTCGCAACACGGCCCTTTGTTAATGATAATCATCTGCGCCTCGGGCCTGAGGAGGGAGCGTTCTCGTGTCGCAGACTTGTACGACAAAACAAATAACCTCATAAACACCTCTATTGCTGATTACCATCTGTCCAATAAATCACTTCTTTTATTGTGGTCATACTTCAAAAGCATAAATACAGAAGCTGGAATTTAACAACATGCCCTGTAACAGCTAATAAATAAAAGTAATGCAGGTGTTCAGCGACTGTATCAGAGGACATCTTTACTGCAGCCAAGACGCCAGAGAAGGTTGCAAACAAATGATTTACTTTTTTAAATGCCCTTGTATGTTATACTGCAACTATCAGTAGCCATATAAGTTACTGGGATAGTCAAATTTCAGACATGTGGTGAGCCTAAAGGAGAGTTTAACTTCTGAATTATATAAATAACAGAGAAAAACTCGCATTAAAAGTCAGACAAAGAGAGATTTAGGCTACAAGGAGCATCCTAACAGCACAACAGGGATGTTAATCTAAAGACCCCGGTGACCAGCGTTTGACGGACAGGTCTCCAGGGACAGGGTTGGACACAATCTGCCTTCTTTCCCACTTCGTACTTAGAGACGCTGATCAGGCCTTGTGTCAGTGCGAGACTGCTTATTTGTTCTTCTTTTGTGTGTCCTCTGTTTGGCTCACTGGCCACGACAATAAAAGGTGGATACACACTGTCACACAACACTTTTACTATTTGCCCAGTAGAGCCTGATTTGTGAACACAAAATAATCTACAAATAATGGTTAGTCACATAGCGGTGTGGGTGGTAGTAGACAAAGCTACAGCTCACATTTACCAGAAGAGGATGAAAAAAGATGACGAGGAGGAGGAGGAGGATGAAAAAAGAGGAAGGAGAAGGTGGTGAAGACATTGACCACAAAAGATGTAATTTTTACTACATGTGGTTCTATTACTGCATATTGATTAAATAATAAATAATAATCAATAAAAGTAAATGGCTATTTTTATGAGGGAATTGTAGACAGCAGATTAAAATGAGTTGTGTTTCTGGCCACTGGAGAAATCTAAGCCTCCAATTTTCTTTTTCTAAAATTTGAAAAATAAAATAAAAAAAAAAAATGTGGGTATTTAGTTTATTTAGTTAGCTAGATGTTTGACGTTCTTCTCCAGCTGGCATTAACTTTGTCTGTCTGTTGTTTGGTAATGGGGAGGCTTAATGTTCAGACAGTTGGTTTAGTTGTACAAAAACATTTGGCTGCTGCTGGGAATGGTGTCGATGTGATAAGTGAGACTCCGATTCTGCTGTTCTTGGACATATTACCTCTAAAAGCTCCGACCGATCAAGGCCAGCTATGCCTCACGTAGCTTGCGATCAGTAGAACATCATACGACACATAGCGGTGTGGCACTGACACAGCAGACTCGGAGCCTCATAATAACTCAATTAGAGCCCTTATGCAACATGAGTGATGAATTATGCAACTCCTTCCTTTAGAAATGATGCCATTTGAATCATGAATAGTGTGAAAATGTGCAGTTCACCTTGAATAATGCTGCAGTAACTGTAGTGTGGGCAGCTACAACACTTTTCCGGATAAAAGGAGATAAAATAAGAGCTTGGCAAACACTTGGTCAGGTTGAAAACCCTTCAACGACAGCAAAACCCACAGTGGGTGACTGTGAGGTGCTGCCATACTTAGAACTTCACCCACTTAGTTTGACAATGTGACATGCCCAAATACAATAAGCTGCCAATACCAAACCTAATATAACAAGGTAAAAACAGACGCGGTGGTAACATTTAAAATCTACATGCTATTTTTACTGATGCTATTTTTCCGTACAAGATAAAACCTTTCTTAATGTGCCCAAATCCTACAGGAATCTGTTGTCTCAACTGAGACCATGAAGCGTGGATGGAGCCATTGGCATGCCAAACAGACAGACTTGCTTTGTTTTTATATCTCTCAAGTGCTCTACTGAGAAGCTATATATAAACAGGTGCAGTACTCTCGGAACTAGCCATCTGTGCCGGTTCTTTCACGACAAGCGACTGTGTTTGTGGACAGCTAGGACACACTGGGACCGACAGGCAGCTACTGAAGCTCTGCAACGATACTGACGGGGAAGACGTGCTACGTGTGTGTCCCGTCATGCACACATGAATGCATAAGATAACAGAATCAACCCATCTTAAATAAATTCAAGCTTCTGAAGTCTCCACTCGCTACCTTCGACTTCCTCAAAACCACATCCAATCTTCTTTTCTGGGCATGTTCATAAAAGTCGAATCTAATTAAACACCTAAATTAGATACTAATGAACATTTTTTTTCCACGGAGCAGCTTTCTTCCTGCCATGTTGGCACTGCCAAACTCCCCTCTTTGCTCCTGAATCAGCATAACATCACTGCGTGGGTGAAGGGGAGAGAGGAGCAAGGCCAAACAGGAGCTGGGAGTAGCAAATTATTCATGTAGAGTGCTTTAGCTTGTACAGCACTGAGCGATGTGGGCTGTGCTTCCCACCTCTACCCACACTGTTTGGAGAAAATCAGGTCCACATAAAAGAATGAGCCTCTGTGCTTCTGAGACAGTCCTTTAATGCGCCTTAAAAACGGAGCAACCAATTCACTGTGGCAATCTCCAACAGCTCAATACATACGAATTAAAGTATAGCCAAAAGTACAAAAGAGGAAACTAATTAAGCATGTGCTTTTAGCAGGAAAGAATTAATTCTGAAAACAGCTTTTGTTACTTTTAACCATGAAGAAACTGACATAGCTCCATATTGTTGTTCTTCTGGGGTATGTTTTTTTTAATTGCTCCCTGGACCTCTCACTTTTGGGGGGAGGGAAGTTCTACAACTGTGCCAAACTACTATATGTGTGTGTGTGTGTGTGTGTGTGTGTGTGTGTGTGTGTGTGTGTGTGTGTAGTATGGCAGCGGGCTCAGTTTGTTAGTGGGATCATCCTGTTAGCGAATTGGTAACCTCATTAAATGGCAGGAGGTTAACGTGTCTGCTCAGTGGAGTGTGTACTTAACATTGGCTCTGATCTGTAATTCAGATGCAGCTGACGAGACGGCATACTGATTGTAATCGAGCGATTACGTTTAAAGCATTTATTGTCTGCTCGTGTCTGCTGCAACGTGTGATGTGTCAACAAGTGATTTTCAGCATCTGGACGTGTTTTTCATGAACGCTGGACTCCTTCTAATGTTTTCTGCTGCCAACATGGTTGCTTACACGAATGGGTTTACTGAATTTCTCATCAAAATGTCCTATTTTACGGCTGCTGTTGTAGCTTGACTGGTTGAGCTGGCGACCCACGTAAAGGGGCTGTAGTCCCCGATGCAGCGCCCATGGGTTCGAATCCCGCTCTTGGCCCTTTGCTGCAAGTCCGTCCCCCACTTTCCTGTCTCTCTCTTCACTGTCTTAAATAAAATAGGCCAAAAAAATACCTTTAAAAAAAGTCCTACTTTACTTTTGTCTTTCGGGAGAAAACTTAGTTATTACATAAGAAAATAATTTTACTCATTCACAAATTCTATGACAACTTACTTTAAATCTAGACACACATTTGAGCAAACACACACACTGAGATCCATTTTTAACAACTCTCCACACAAACTTTTAAATAACATTGCTATAATAATAATAATAATGCGGCTGGTCTATTCAATACCTCCCACACATAGGCTGTACTTGGGCGGACCGCCCAGGTATATTAACGGCCGCCAAAGTATATTTGGCGACCCATTTCCGAGAGAATGACACCATCCGCGATCGATTTGCATGTGTTTTCCTTGGATGCTGTATGTTGAGCTCTCATGGCCCTGAACAACAATACCGATCCTATTTCACTGTTGCACATCTCTTCAGCAGATATTACATCATGCATCCAGAAAATTACCTTAAGCATTATCATCACTGTGTGCGTAAAGTTTCAATTGTAAAATAGTGCTGCTGAAGCAAAAGTGTTGTGTTAGCAAACATAAACTCTATGTGTGCCTGGATAGAGAGTGGAGCTGAGAGAACAGCTAGCGTCTGAACCTGACTCTGTCACGAGAGACAAAGGTGGTTACAGTGAATTTGGCCAGTGTAGTAATGCTCCAGCTCACAGCCGGAAAAGCTGCCCTTTCACTGTCAAAATAATGAGAGATTGAACACTG